AGAGGGGAAGATTAGAGAGATTCAGGGAAGCATAGAGGTGGGGGTGGGAATAGAAAAAATAAGAAGATTAGAGGCTGGTAGGCAGGAGAGGGAATGGATGGGGGTGGTAACATTACGTAGCGTAGAGGAGAAGGGAAGGATATTGAGAAGTAAGGGGAGGTTGAGGGGAGGTTGAGGAGGTGGAGAGATATCTGGAAAGAGGAAGATCTAACATGGAAGGAGAGAAAGATGAGGTGGATGTTAAGGCATGTGAGAATGAAGGAGGGAGAGCAAAGTTGGTGTGACCGGAATAATGCCTCGTTACTTAATAAATCCGTATATTTAATTTAATCAATTAATAAATGTTAACTTGTCTTGGTCGTTGCTTACTTTGGTCGCCACTCCGTTTTACCTTGGCTACAGAAAAGGTATTCCGGGTCCTCAGTTATCCCGTTGTGCTGGCCTTGTCGGAATGGAGGGCTCTCATTGGCTTCCTTCCTTCCTGTCTGTCCCGTGATTGGCCGCTTCGACGAGAGAGTCGTGTCGTCTAATTGTTGGCTTGCTTCGTCGCGTTGTTGCTTATTATTACTCGTGGAAGTGATATTTTTCACAATAAAGTCGAAAGGCAAGTTGATGTAACGAAATATAATTTATTCAAAGTTAAAAACATCAACAATTTAATTAATAATAGCCTTTCATTCACTCTAGTTCACATTCACACGCTATTTCACGCTTTACGACACTCTAACTGTCTCTCTTCTAATTATTTTACTTCGCGTTGTCGCGTCATATCGCACAATTCAATACGTCACGAATCCAAGATGGCCGTCGCCTTTGTTCTCGCGTGCCGCGCTTGCATAAGACGCGTATCACGGCTTTTGCGGGTATTTCCTCGCTTTACTCGCGGGGCGTTTACGGGTAATGTATTATTAACGAATTTTATCGAATTACGGCGAATTTTGGCCGTTTTCCCGTATTTTCGGTATATGTCGGTTTTCCACCGAAATTCGCGATTTTTTCGCGTTAATTCGCGTTCACGATCCTTAATTCACCTTAACTCACTTTCCCGACTCGAGATTTTTCTCGGTTTTTTCACGGTATTCGCGGTTACGCAATAGTTTGAGCCGCACCGACGTGTCGCACGTCCGACGCGTTTGGTTGCTGGGTAACGACTGACTTTCAATATGGCCGGCTTCGCTGGCAAGATGGCCAGGAAGAAATGGTGTGTACCTTTTTCCGCAGTACGTTCTATGTTCCCTAATTTAGTTCTTTTCTGGTAACACATTCAAACAGGCCTTACGATGCTATAAATGGCTCAAATAATTCGGAATTAACTTCCGCAACATAAAATCTTAGTGGACTTTCGCTTTTTAACAACAATTTAAGCGAATAATTAAACTTTTAAGTTGGATGATTTCGGCAACCAATCAGGTGTCAGGAAATAATTCCTCTATCGTTAAATATGTATTAAATAATTCACTGTAGTGCTAAATAATTAAGTTTTCATCAAATAATTGATCCGGTTGCCAAAATAATTCAAAATAATTGAACAATTATCAAAATCCCTATATGCGAGTATGGGTGTACCTTAAATAATTTGTAGGCGTTGTGAACAGTGCCTAAGTGTCTCGAAATAATTCCAAATGTTTATAAATAATTAGAGAATGGCTAGTTTCGCCCTAAATAATTCCAAAATACTTTCTGTAAGCTATATCAACTGAAATACTCTCGCATATGAAGTTTTAGGTCCATGTGTATCGCTTTACGCGTATCCTAATGCTTTCCTGCTCTAACTAGAACATCATTTGTAAGTGTTTTAAATAATTAGTTTGACTCTAAATAATTGAAAAATAATATAGAATAATTCCTTAAGTGGTTCTTTAACCTGGTTTATGAGTTTAAGTAATTTTGTAAGTCTATTCTTGTCACTCTTCGGTGAACTATCTGTTATCTCTTTCTATCTAATGTGAGATGTTCTAATTAATTCTAGGCGCTTGAAATAATTATCAAATAAGTAAAATAATTCGGCTTATATGCCTTTGTGCTAAAATAATTATGAAATGTGGTTTTACAAACCTTTAACTTAAGTAAATCGCTCTTCGGCGGCTGTTAACAATGTTTTCTGTTTCAGGGTCTCCAAATCCATTACAGCGTATCTTTTATAGGTAGGTAATCGGTAAGTATATTTGTAATCTTTATTTATCTTTAGTTGAACATGCTTTCTAATTAATTTTCTTTATTTATTTTCAGGTTATCACACTGGATTGGATTGGTTCGCCTTTATTACCTGTGTTTTTCAGGATATTTAGGTAGGTTGAAATGCTTTATCAAATAATTATAAAATGTATGAATCTTTATTTAGAATAACTACTTATGAAATATTAAATGTTTTAATCGTGTTAAATAATAAAATATCGACCTACTGGTCTTGCAAGTAATCATGTAAGAAATAATAATTAAAATAATCGGCATCTTTAATCGTTCCTTTTTGCTCTTTTAACATCTTGTGTTCGGCTGACCCTTTATACAATAAACTAATAAAATAATGTTTTACATATAACAAAATAATAAAATAATAAAATCTTTAATTCCGCTTGGCTGTATCATTCGACCTGCGGGTTGTCTTGCGTTTGCGATGTCATCGCTGGTTTACTGGTCAAGCCTTGGTCTTCTGCCGATATCTCTTGACTGGTCTCAGGTATTATTTTCTTGGCTGCTACCGTTATTATTTGATTCGGTGAGATGTTTTCCGTATCCTTCTGGAATTAATTTGGTCCGTTTTTTATTATTTGGCGGACTCTGAAAAATTGCGGGCGGTTGCAGGG